CGGCCGCCCCGCCGCGACCTCCCTCGGCCCGGGCGCCGCGAGGCCTGCCGGGAACTGTAGTTCCTACGAGGGGGTTGGAAGCGGCGGCGACTCCCGCGAGAACCCGCGCGTGACGTCCCAGCGGCAGGCCGGGCACTCAGGCGCTCTGCGTGCCCGCGGGGCGCCCGAAAACGTGCTCACGCTCGGGAGAGCAGGGGGCGAACCGGGGTGCGCCGCGGCCGGCGGCCTGGGCAAGCCCCGTCCTCATGCGCAGGAGGCGTCGGTGGGGCCGGGCCCCACTGCGCAGACCCCCACGGCCCCGCCCTACTGGTGCGTGGTAGTGCGTCAGGGGCGGGGACGGCGCGGCGCCGCCCTCGCGCCTGCGCGGTGCGGGCTCCGAGGACTCATGCCGTTGCTGTGGAGACGCGGTGGCTGGGCGCCAGCAGGCTCCACTTCGTGCGGTGCTGCTCTAGAGTGGCGGTGTCCGTCGTGTGTGTGAGACGGAATCGCGCTTGCACCCGCAGAAGGACCTCGAGATTCCATCTGCAGTTAACCAACAAAAAGCGGGACTGGAGGCAGAGCGCACTTACCACCTCAAGGGAGCGGGCCATCCCTGGAGGCGGGGTTAAAGGTGACCAAAGAAGTTTGTTTACAGGATTGACACTGAAAAGGGGCTGCTACCGTGCCCTGGGTGCGCACCCCGAATCAAGCGCAGCCTCGACCACCAGCCTCCAAGCCTCAATGGGCAGCCCGACCTTTATTAATGGTCTGCAAACCTCCAACCCCGGACCTCCAAAGCTCCTTCCTCCTGGGCAGAAGTCTCCAGTCTCCACAGGCGACCCTGCTCTGCGCTGAAAGGCTCTTCTCCAGGCCTTCCTAGAGGGAGGCCCAAATGGGCCCTGCAGGCCTTGTCCTCCTCAGGCCTGCCCTGCTCGACGCCAGCAGCCTTTCCCCTCCTGCTGCCTCTCTCTCAACTCTGTCTCCCCTCTCCTTAGCTCTACTTCTTTGTTGCTCTCTCCCCCTACACTCCTCAGGACCCCTCAGGACCCCTCAAGATTCCCTTCAGGACCCCTCAGGACCCCTCAAGATTCCCTTCAGGACTCCTCAGGACCCCTCAAGATTCCCTTCAGGACCCCTCAGGTCTCCTCAGGACTCCTCAGGACCCCTCAGGACTCTCCTCAGGACCCCTCAGGTCTCCTCAGGACTCCTCAGGACCCCTCAGGACCCCTCAGGACCCCTCAGGACCCCTCAGGACCCCTCAGGACTCCTCAGGGCCCCTCAGGACTCCCCTCAGGACCCCTCAGGACTCCCCTCAGGACCCCTCAGGACTCCCCAGGACTCCCCTCAGTACCCCTCAGGACCCCTCAGGACCCCTCAGGACTCCTCAGGACTCCTCAGGACCCCTCAGGACCCCTCAGGACTCCTCAGGGCCCCTCAGGACTCCCCTCAGGACTCCTCAGGACCCCTCAGGACTCCTCAGGACCCCTCAGGACTCCCCTCAGGACTCCCCTCAGGACTCCTCAGGACCCCTCAGGACTCCTCAGGACCCCTCAGGACTCCCCTCAGGACCCCTCAGGACTCCTCAGGACCCCTCAGGACCCCTCAGGACCCCTCAGAACTCCT